AAAATAACACCGAAACGTTCTGGGTGAAAAAAACATTGAAAAATGTGAACAAAGTTTTTGTAACCGATAAATAATATTATGAGAACCATTTCTGAATGATGGTTTCTCTTTGTTCCCAAAAACAAAACCAGAATAATTCATAAATACGAGAACGCATATTTTTAGTGTTCGTCAAAACGTGTTTATAATTGACATAAAATATTCAGATTAACGAAATAATTATAAATTAGACAAATAAAACAAAATTATATAGAAATATTGCATGCGGTGACTTGTAAGCGCGGTATGCAGAGGAAACTAGTCTCTTCCATCAACAGGTCCATGTATCGATGGAAAACAAATTTAATATGAGATGTGTGTTATCTCTTTGTACGTGCGAAGGCTGTTTCCCCCTGTCATGAATTTTTCGTGTGGAAAAACAAAGCGTGTCACTAAATTTGAGGGAGTAGTCCCTTTAGTTAGGCAACCCACAACACGTCGGTGTCATGCGTGAGAACTCTTAACACTGGGGGAATAAGAACTCTCAACGTCCCGTTGAATTTGTCCAATATGCCTATTGAGGAAATTCCTGCGATTTTTCATTATTAGTACAGTTACGCAAGAGATTCGTTGAACCTACTTGGAAGTAACTAATAATTTAAGTATACGTATGAAGCGTTGAGAATGGACCGAAGCCACAAGAAATTGATTTCACAGAAGAGCCTTAACTAAGTTTATAGAGGACGTTAAAGCATGCGTCATAGTAGGAGTTATTGCTGTTGCCTAATCATACTGGTCATGGTGAGGAGTGATAACATTATTGAAGAAAAAAAATTATTTTTTTTTAAATATCCTATTTAATTTCTTCTGTGTAATTTTCTTTTGAGTTTCACTGTACGAATGTAACGCGGTTGGTTTAGAAAACGGTTCGATAGGCTTCGTAAGCTCTTTTATGCTAACCGAGGATAAAGTAGTTCCATTGCGTGTGAAAGCCAAAGCGACGTTCATACGCCGGACCCCGAGCTCAATTTGCGAACCCCAAACGCGGAGCTACTCAACATCGTTTCCAAGTGGCGATGCATTGGTTTAACTGGACGTTTTCGCACGGATGGCACTGCTACGAGCGCTGGTGGCAGATCCCGCCACTAGCAGTGCAGACGCGCCGTCGCGGGCCCCGCCAGAAGAACACAGTTCTGAATGGCAGCCTATCAGGCTTTGGATGTCACAAATCAAGTGGTTTTAATCTCCGATTTGATGTAAATCAAATTATTCGCCCAAAAAGTAGTTGATTTAAAAAAAAATAGAATTTGTTGTAAATTTTACAATGATTAAAATGTTTGGGCGATAAAGAATTATAGATTATAGCATTTTAGGTATTTATTTATTAATAAACAATTTACTATTATTTGTTTGTGAAGGAACACCAGTTTTGCTGCTTTTTCTATTCCAAGGCGATTTCTAATTTTTGATTGGATAAGTCCAAATGTGAGAAAAAACAATGTTGGTGAAACAAGAAAAATTGTAGTTAATACCCCAAAAAATTAATAAGATATTAAAATTTTTCTCGTTATTTGCAGAGAGTTGACTTAATATGTACAATAAATGTTCCAGAAACATTTTACTGATCCACTGTTTCTGAGTTATTTTATGGAAGTTTTATTAAAACTCGCAATATTTCAGAACTAGTACAAGGGATAGCCCCTTGTTCTACAGAGTATTAAATTTTTGTACTCTTTTTGCGAGTATGTAAAAAAAATCGAATTTGAATATTTCAATTTAGATCATGACTTTTTTTAAATTAAATCTGATTTTTAGTGACCCTGCAGACCATAAACTTCACCGCTCGGAAGCGCCACCAACTAATAATATTTTGAGTACTCTGCGGACGCCAATACTCACAGTGGTGATTCAAGACTCTTTCCTTTCCTACGATGAGTGGCACTGGTCGGCGGATGTGTATGAAGGGGTCCAGCGCTTTTCGATGGCGCTCTGATGTTACACGCTTGAGAGCTAGGTTCAATAATTCAGGTGCGAGGAACATTCTAGCGCGAGGCGGCCCTGATAGATAGTTTTCAATGGTTTCTGCGATCCATATAGAGAAATTACTCTTAAGCAGGCACACATTTGTCAGGTCGGGAAACAAATAAACGTCATGCAGGGCAATGACATTGCAAGAGATAGTGATGAGGACATTTACAAATGAACTGTAAACGAACTCGTTGACCAAATGAGTCCATGGACGTAATTTGCCAGCCATGGTCAAGCAACAACTGTCAAAGAGGTTACTTCTTATAATAATCTCTCTATACAAAGCTAATGCCGCAGCACAACCCTAACAAACGAGCCACGGACCGCGCGCGATGTTCCTTCCTCTTCTTTATCCTATCTTCTCCCCTTCTTACACACATAGACAGGCACTAAACTGCCACGTATGTCGAGAGACCAGTTAGGATCTTAGAGCTTGACCCGTCTGGGGTAGTTCGCCGCTGATTGGGGAAAACCCCGCGAGCCGAAGTGAAGGTCGGCGGCGGATGCCCCCATCCAGCGGGGCAGATCACTCCCCGCTGTAAAACATGCATTACACTTACGGGACCAATGGCCTTGGCTCTTGACGCACCTGGGAACATTGATGAATGAGACAATCGTTGGCGCTGCGATTGTGGGAAGACCGTGAGAAGCAAAGCGCCAAGGTGACAAGGCGAGAGCTGGTTTCTCCGTGCGCATTGGCACCGGCGAGCGCTCGTTGTTGCTGCACGGGGCCGGTGTGAGGGTCGTGTGTGTGTGTGTGTGTGTTGCAGCGTTGGATGCAGTGGCGCCGGCCGCCGAGCGCGCGACGCCTCCGCTGCACGGCCGCCCAGAGGCGAGAGCTTCGCCGCGCCGTCGCCGCTCCCGACCCCTCGCCCCCCCTTCACAACCAC